GGTAAGAGGTGAAGCAGTAATAAATAGCAGCAGCAGTAGAACCCCAACAATCAAAGAGCAAACTAGCAGAACGATCTTTAACTCAAAAATGAAGTACAAACTAAAAAAACTCAATGGAACAGTGTTTTTGCAGAGTTTACAACTTTTATTTTTTATTTTTCAGGATTTCTTGGCTCTTCAGTATTTTTTAGTATTTTTCAGAATGTCCTCCCTTGTCTCTCTTTTGACTCTTTCTTCTGTATCTATGTCTTTTCAGTCTGTTCAGCTCCCCTCTTGTTTTGTCCTCAACAACCCTTGAAATAGGCATTAAGTTAGTGTTCTCTCCACTATCAATTCACCTTTTCATTTTTAAACCATCCACTAGCATAGTGCTTTCTTAATTTAAACAGCTATTGCAATACCAACCCTACCACTATTAAAAGCTTCCTAAAGTTAGTTAGGCAGATAATCCCTTTTATTAAACAATTCTTAATTTTCAACCTTTTAACTAATGTGCTGCTTTTATTTGTTCAATTCCTAAGCCTAAAATTATGGATATGGAATTTTAGAGGGCATGATGTGGCTTACTCATAGCTATTGGACCAACTATTCTAATGGGCTACACACATGAGGGATCGAGCAATCCACCAGAAAAAATGATTAAGAACCAAAGAATTGTGACCCATTGCCAAGACTTTATTAATCCATCCTTGTTTAAGGAAAAAGATAGGAAATACTCAAACTTCTACTCACATTCATTAATATACAACTTAAAATTTAAATGGCAAAGAGCTGACAACAAACATACTTTCACATTTATCAACAGTAACAAACCGAAACGCATCAGCTTTTGGTCTTGATACTACTGCAAAATTTCCCATTACAATACCTCTAAAACAAAATGAAATCCCTACAAATACAACATGAAATCCAATAGCAAGGAATTAATCTGCAAACTTACTTCCTACACATAATGGGTATCCAATTATCCAGTTTTTCAATTATCAAATACACTCATAACTGAATGAACATCATGCCTATCACCACAAAATTCAAGCAACAAATTAAAAATGGGAAATAGATAAACCTGAATTGCTTTCCAATGTACTTAAATCTCCGACGATTACCATTTAATAAGAATTCCAACGATTGAACTCGAAAGGAAAGCTTAATACAACAGCAACAGAATCGAACCGGTACCGCGAATCTGCCCGAATTGAACCTCGGACAGTGACTTCGAATCAAACCCCAAAATCTAACTCAATAGCTTTCAATCGCGCCTCAACTGAAGGCCTACGATGACCTCGAGCGGACTTCGTAGGAACTAATGGAAACAGTCACTGAACTCAATCGAAAAAATGGAGAATTGTCGAAAAATATACTAAACGAGTTATTGATTGATGGATTTTACCCGTAGTTATGAGGTTGGAGAAGAATAAGATGAACGCTGGGGTGTTGTGTTTCGCTGGTCTCCAGCGTTCTCTGCTGGAGAAGACAAAGACAGGGGAGAGTCCCTCTTCTGTTTGTGTGACTGATTCCGGCGAGTTAGTGAAGCAGGGTGGTGTGAGGTCCGACGACTTGGGGTAGGGTGTGTGAAGGAGATGAAAGGCGAGGGGTTGGGGTCTTCTCCTATTGCGACTGATTTTCTTCTTAGGATTCTAGGTTAGAATTTTAGGTGGGGAAAATGGTGTGGGTCTTGGGTGTTGGGTCGGGTCGTGGGCAGGTTTTGACTGATTTTGGTTGGGTATTAGGTGGTTTTGTGTTTAGGCTTGGGATTTAAATGGGACTTTAGCCCAATTTTGATTTCCCCCTCTTTTATTAGTTATTTTCATTTTCTTTTCTTCCAAAAATTAAAACTAAAATTTTAATTAAATTTTAAAAACCCAAATTAGCTTAAAAATATTAATTAACTTTAAATAATAATTATCACAAATAATTAAACACCAAATTAAAAGAAAAATCACAAAATTTGACATTAAACACTAAAAATGCACAAATACGTTATTTTTTGTGAAATTTTCATTTTTTGTAAAGCATCAATTTACTAATTTAACTAAAGAAATATAAAATCAAATCCTACGTGTCAATAATATATTTTTTTGTATTTTTATTGCATTAATAAATTAAATATGCACTCAAAAATACGCAAACAATTAGGAAAATCGCACAGTAATTCCTAAAATAACACATAATTAAAGAAAAGACATAATTTTGGGAATTCTTTTGGAGTAATCCGTGTGAGACAAAAATCACGTGCTCACATAAATTATGCAACTAAAAGCTCCAAGATGATAATTACTTACCTAAAAAGCTCCAAGATACAATAATTACTTATCTATAAGTAAGGCTGGCATGTGGACCAGACTGGGGCCTAAATGGGCTTCGTAGGCTGGTCCTAAGTGGGCCCGGTGCCAACTTAAACGGGCTTCGCAGGCTTCTTGTAGGAACCGGCCCGGGACCGGACCCACGAATTAATAGTCTCGGGCATAAGTGGGCCCAACAGATACTTTCTATTTTTTTAAATTTTTTATAAAAGTTAGGAAAAAATGATAATAAAAATATCTAAGGCAATTCCTTGTAAACTATATTATAGAATTGTGACCTTAATTTTTTAATTCAAATTTAAAGACAAAAATATTGTAAAGAGATATTCAAAGCAACAATTACTTACCTAAAAAACTCCAAAACAGGTGATTATATATTAAACTATATATAATATAATATTATATGCTTATATATTATACCAAAGGTATTGTCTATTGTATGAACAAGTAGATATATAAAAATTGAGTTATTTTCATGGGTGGTCATTTAATTTTGTATTCATTACGCAAAAGTCATTTTTTTTTGTTACGTAAAAATTATTCAATTTTCTGTTCATTACTCAAAAGTCACTTTTCTTTATTTATTACAAAAGTTACATTGGTTAGATTTTATAATATTTTTACTAGAAAAGTCTATTATGCCCTTGGCATTATAAATGAGATGATTTATAATGTATAACCAAGTATATTACTATATTCATGTAATATAGTAATGTATGAACAAGAAAAGGAAAAATAATTATTTTTTTGGGGTTGCTTCCTCAAGCATTTGGGTGAGAATGATCTAATGAATGCAACGACAGAAGAAAAAAAAAAGAGTTAAAGTTGTTCAGCCATAGAAGAAGAAATCAGTTGATGTTTCATCTATGCAATACAATGAAGAAGAGGGAAGAAGAGGGTGGAAGATGATAGAAAGATAATTGGGGAAGACAAACAATTAAGATGCGAGAGAATCTTAATAGAGATAACTAGGAAATGAAAGTTGTATATAATCTAATTAAAAGGTTAAATTTTTGAACTAATTGTATTTATGTAACCTTGTGAAAGTAGTTATAATCCTTGTAAATCACTTTTAAAAAGGTAATGTTTTTGTTTAAATAGTAGTGTTGTCCGTAGATAAAATCCTCCCAGCAAGGGAGAATACTATAACTTATGAGACTAGGATAATGTACATAAATTCCGGAGTACAAACTTCTCGTTATCAAACGCATTTAATTACGGGATCATGCCAAAATGAAGAAAAGGTTTAGCCTTAACATACCTTATATATTTCTGTTCAATAATAACCATATTGAACTTTACTTGTGTGTTGTAGAATTATTTCTTTTGTAGCTTAACAATAGTGTCACTATCGTTCCTGTAGATTAAGGTGCGACGAGTGAAGTTCAATATGGTTATTGACCAGATATATATATATGTGGTACTGTTGATATATCACATTAACGAGTGAAATCTAGGTGTTACTAGCAGGTTTTAGGATGGCCAACTCATGGGACCGGCCCAAACACCTAACTGTAGCAATGACCTCAAAATTATACTATAGAATGGTAGAGGATTCTCAGATAGAGTAACTTTATCAAAAAAATCATAGAGATTGATTGTCTTAGGCGAGAAAGGGTTGAAAAGATGAATAGCAATGGAATCAAACAGTTGAAAAATCAACTAACCATGAGAAGAACCGCAACATGCATCTTCACATGCAGAGGCTGACCCAGGATTTGAGCATCGCGGGAGCACCGCTGTTTTTAGATATGCCAATCACCAGCAACAAATTTTGCTAATTCTATGAAAACATAATAATTATGATACGTATCAAGAAAATACAAATTCAATATTCACTAACATAACTAATTTGGTACTAACATAACATTATCTGCTCATACTTAAACTCTTCATATTTATACATACAAACCGTGCAAAGTTTGAATTTTAATGTGTAAATTCTTGTATAGAATATCCCAATGTGGTTCTAGCTAGTTAGATGTTATTTAGTTAAATGTTTAGGCATCACCAATTAGAATTGAGAAAGCAAACATCTTGTTGATGCATAGAAAATCATAAGCCACTTGCAACTGTCCATATTGAAAATACACGGGAAATTGTCCAAGTTATTTTGCATTTTACTATCTCCAAAAGGTTAACTTTATTGATGATTATGTGGATCCAACTGCACTCTCGTTCTAGTACAAACAATTTATTTTACTTCATTACCATGCTTAGTTCTTTAATTTACATCTTTCGATTTTCCTCCTAGATACATGAGAAATAAAACTTTTAAAGAAAAAAGAAAGTTCTAAGCAAGGGGAAATTTGAAAAAGAATAAAATAAATTAATACTAAACTAATTTAGAAAAGATAAAAATAAACCAATTGACTACCAAGGGAATAGTAATAAGGTAAGAAAAAGTAAAATATATGAGGGATCCTTATATATATATATATATAGTTTTTGTCGAGGCTAACGGAATTTTGTGACCCTTTAACCATAGTGTAGGTTCGCCTACCACGTGTAAGTAATGAAAGTTTCAAGAACCAAAATTGATACCAATATAGAATTCATAAATCTTGAGAAACAATCAAAATCAATACCGCAATAATATTCCTTTTAATATCAATAATAATTCCAAAACTAATTTCAAAAAACAAATCTCTTAAAACCGACCCGATAACCAAATCCAAACCCCCGAGATAAATATCAGCCTCTACTTCGCTTTTATCCTCCTCTCTCCCGAAACCCTAGCCCCCAATTCAGAAAACCCTAATCTCTGTCGCTACCTCAAACCCTAATTTCCATGGCGAAGAAGCGAAAAACCAGAGCTTCCGAAGCCGCCGCACAACCAGTAGAAGAAGAACAGCAAAATATTAAACAAGAATCAGCAGATCTCGAACCCGAACAAGAACAAGAACAAGAAGAGTACCAAAACGACGCCGTAGAAGAAGAAGAAGCAGTTCAAGAGGGCGAAGAAGAACCAGATCCCGAAGAAGAAGATGATAACGACGACGGTGATGATAATGAAGAAGAAGAGGAAGAAAATCCAGGATCTGGAAACAACGCCGTAAATGAAGTTAACGGAGGCGGTAGTGAGGTGAAGAAGGAAGGAGGAGGCGACGAAGAAGAGGATTTAGAAGATGAGCCACTCGAGAAGCTTCTAGAACCTTTCACGAAGGATCAACTTACAGCGCTTATAAAAGAAGCTTTAGTTACTTACCCTAATTTGAAGGATAATATTCAGAAATTGGCCGATAAGGATCCGGCGCACCGCAAAATCTTCGTGCACGGCTTGGGTTGGGACACTACAGCTGAAACCCTAACGAGCGTGTTCGGGAAGTACGGTGAGATTGAGGATTGTAAGGCTGTTACAGATAAGGTTAGTGGGAAGTCAAAAGGATATGGGTTTATTTTATTTAAGCATAGGAGTGGTGCTAGGAAAGCATTGAGAGAACCACAGAAGAAAATTGGTACTAGGATGACTTCTTGCCAGCTGGCTTCGGCTGGGCCGGTCCCCGCCCCGCCCCCTACAGCAGCGGCTGTCCCACCTGTTTCTGAGTATACTCAGAGGAAGATTTTTGTTAGCAATGTGGCAGCTGATCTTGATCCTCAAAAGCTGTTGGAGTTTTTCTCTAAGTTTGGTGAAGTTGAGGAGGGTCCACTTGGATTGGATAAGCAAACTGGGAAGCCCAAGGGGTTTTGTTTGTTTGTGTATAAGAGTGTCGAGAGTGCAAGAAAGGCGTTGGAGGAGCCACATAAGAGCTTTGAAGGGCATACACTTCATTGTCAGAAGGCCGTTGATGGGCCGAAGCACAATAAGAACTACTATCAGCAGCACCAGCAGCCGCAACAGCATTACCCTCAGCACCAGCAGCACCAGCAGTATTATCAGCATCCTGCAAAGAAGGGGAAATATTCAGGTAGTGAAGAATTTCACTATGTTTGTGTTGGTTTCTCTAATTTTTGAATACACTTGTATACAATGATTTGATTGGGGTTTGTCACTTTAAAATGTAATTGCAGAATTTATAGCATTGTAAAAAATTCATTACATGCATGTAACTTAAATCCTCTGCAGTAAAGTTGATTTAATTGTTTCCTTAAAAAACTCAGGTGGTAGTGGTAGTGGAGCAGCAGCATCAGCTGGGCATTTGATGGCGCCATCAGGGCCTGCACCTGTGGGATTCAATCCTGCTGTGGCTCCGGCTCTTGGGCAGGCTTTGACAGCCCTGTTAGCTACCCAAGGAGCTGGTTTGGGGATTGGGAATTTGCTTGGAGGTTTTAGTGGGCCAGTGAATCCTCAGGGTGTGCCCCCAGTGATGAACAATGCTGGAGGATATGGTGCCCAGGGTGCTGCTGGTGGCTATGTAGCTCAGCCGATGCAGTACCAAAACCCGCAGATGCAGGGCGGTGCAAGACCACAGGGTGGTGCTCCTTACCCAGGCTATGGAGGTCACTAGGAAAGCTTAAGGTGTGATCTCTCTCTCATGCTTTGCATGTTGGTGTCTAATGCTTTTAGAGTTAAATTTGCTAACAGGGCAATATTGTACTCCACGTGGAATTTCTTACCATGGACTTGAGTGGTTCCTGTGCTTATTTTCTTGTTTGCATTGCTTGCATCTATATTAACGGAGTGTAGCATGTACTAGTTTATATTTCTATATCATGCCCATTTTAAATGTAATGCATCTTCAGTGGTTTAAAAGGCTGGGGCACTACTTAGCAATTTGTGTAATGCATCATTGACTATAATCTTAACCACCTAGGCTTTTACTTAATTTGCAAAATACTTTCAAATCTGACAGTCTAGGTGGACTAGAAAATACATTTAAATCTGAGAATCTTGGTAACAATGTTCTCTTACTCCATGTAATCCTAGTCTCATTGTGTCTGTTGTGGAGGAAGTCTTTGATGTGTTATTATGCACGTTGTTGACTGAAACATAGTTTTTGTAATTTGTAACCTAAAACTTGTTGATTATTCAATAATATTGCAGCACTAAAGGAAAACCATGATAAGGTAGCCAGAAACTGCCCATACAAAAAATATCGAAGAATAGACATAGACTAGAAAGGTAACATCAATTTGCATAAGAAGGTTTATGGTGTTATCGTTTTCCATTTTGTTGTCTTGAACAGGTATCAGTAATGCGATGGTTGTACTTCCAAGTAGGTAAAATTTATTGATTTGTTTGTTGCTCATAGACATCTGGTTTGCTTGTTTATGTTACTGTATCTTGCTTGTTTGTTAAATTTCTGTCTTGCATAAAATCAATATCTTTTGACTTGTCTTTCACTTTTCTCAAGGTATTATTCTCACCTGCATTTCATGGGTTTTTCTGCTAAAAATATTTTTTTACTTAGTTTTTTATGTTTTACCTATTCATTGTGCAGATTCCTTGATAAAATGCATCAAACTTTTAGTTTTGGACTGGTGATTCTTCTGAAGTTCCGGGCACTCTCCAAATGAAGTCTTTTACTATGACAAAAGTTACCTTTTGATTAAAAGTCCATGATCTTCATTGTGTATTTTCTTTTTAGTCAAGTACTTCTATTCTGGTGAATGTTTTTAAACACTATGTAGTATTTTGCACTAAACTTTTCTATCTAAAAGGATTGAGAAGACGATAGGGTATCCTACCCATCTCTCACCAGTATTTGAGTATTTAGCAATGTCTTTCTAACCTTCAAACATCTTACTTTCTGAATGGTTTCTTCTACTGCTCCCCCCAGCATCATAGTGTCTCATAAGAAGCAACTTTTGCTTTTCCATCGGTTCAAAGAATTACATTATGAACACATCGAATAGTCAGCTAATTTGTTTTAAGGATTATCTTGTAGCAATTGCCGTTGCAGGTAAATGGTGATGTTCATGGCATTTCGCTGGAGGTGTCCTCTGCTTCCTCTATTTTTCAGTGTTTGAAGCCTGTTATGCTTATGGGTTAAGAATGAACTTTATAAATAGACTGAACCCTGATTTGGTCTCCTCGTCACAACCACTGAAATATTAATATGTAAAGATTTGATTTTCATGGTGGGGTTAAGTTTTATTTTCTTCCTGAAGAGTCTATTGGCTTATTTTAACCTGAAATGGTGGTTTGAGAAATGGAAAGGTTTCTGAAATATTCTGCTATAACTGGTTTATCAACAGCTTTACAAACCGCACTAATTGACTCTTCAAAGCCTTTTCTTGATTTTAAATATACACATCTTTCGGAAGAGGGAGGGGTTTCCTCTCCTAGTTGATCATTTTAACATTATATTGTATTAACATTTATGAAATGGAGGATTCTAACAGAAGGGTGTGATGCAAGAATGCCTTGTAGCTTTGATATTTTGCATCCAGGGGCTGAGCAGGATGGTCCTCCTGGCATTTGAAGATGGTTGTAGCTTTTAAAGATGGCTGGCGGGTCAGATCAGCAGAAAATGTCTCTTCTCCAGGACTTGGTGCTCTAGTGATGTTTATATAGAAAGATAGCAAAATGCATAGCAAATGATATTTCTGGCATGTGGTTAATAAATGGATCAACATTTCACTTGTGGTTTTTCATGAAGAGGGTTTTCCCCAATTCCAAACCCGCACCGCCTGCTCAGTTGAGCTGATTTCTCTTCTTTGCACTCTTACGCAATTGGGGCTAAAGATTCTTACCCCCGAGGCTACAAAAATTGACATGATAGAATCCTAGAAAGGTTGGATGAGCTTGGCTTTGCTTCTCTTGATCCCCAACGGCCTTTCATAGAGGTGGGTTAATAGCTCTAACCTGTTGTTTGTTGCTCTAGTTTTGAGTGTCTAGGTTTTAATCACTTAGCATTGCAATACCAGTAATACTGAAATTGGGTTGATGTGGTATCATGGGAGTTTAATTGTGTTGATATTGGTTGTTGCTTTACCTGATTGACTTCAGAAATCGAGCAAAAGGGAAGTAATTAAACATTGATGATTCCCTTGAGTAAGTTCATCAACCATGGACGTTTAGATGTTGATTATGTTCATGGAATGTTTCGTGGAACATGTTCTACTTTGGCAGACGGCAACTTCTAATCTTTCTCCGAGTATTTGATAGGGTGTGAGTGTACGTGAGGTAATATAATTATAGATTATACTCCCTCTTTTTTTTTATTTATGTGAACTTATTTTTTTTTGGTCCGTTTAAAAAAGAACGATCCATTTATAAATTTGAAATAATCTAGTTTAAATTTATAATTCTAACCTTAATTAGAAACTTTGACAATTATATAAATACTCTGGTTCCTCTTTGATTTGTTTAGGATTATAAATTTTCAGTTTTTTTTTTTTTTTTAAACTATGTGTTCGATCAAGGGAGTAGCATTTGTGAATAGCTGATCACCAAGCAAGTGGTGTGGGTTGACAATTACTCTTGGTAAAGAAAAGTTATTTTTCCTTTCGGTGAAAAATATTTTCACCAATTTCATGTATGGCGGATTTAAGGAAAAAATTATCATCCAATATCTCTCTACGAGTTTATCAAGATTCAAAATAAAGAGTGAGACTCCCTTAACCCCTAATATACATTCAAGAGAGAACCTTGAGAAAGAATGAAGGACCATATTTTGGTATTCTTTACAGCTCAGTAGCCATTATTTGTGTCTTTTAATTATTTTTAGCTAACAAAAAGTTATCAATGATATATAAATATTTAAAATATCTAAAAATATTTTTTTTCAACGGGTATGGTTGGAACTTGTTGAAAACATATACAAGAAATAATTAGTTGTAGCAAAATGGATTAAAAAGTAGTATTTTATTCATATTATCCACTAAAACATGTATTGGATAATAAATTTATTAAAATTGAGCTAAATATGAATATGAATTATATTATTCACTTAAAAAATGGATAACCAATGAGTTTAATTTTTACATTTGCATAGACCCAAATTGGGGGTTTCTCAAGTTTGGGTTATTAGGAATTCTCTTAAATGTGATCATATGCAAGAAGTCATGGATAACCATATTAATTAATTCATTTTTTATTCGTATTAAATATGGATTGAGTTGGATATTTTATTTATTTTTGTATTATCCTTGGCATAACTGGTAAAGTTGTTGCCACGTGACTAGGAGGTCACGGGTTCGAGCCGTGAAAATAACCTTTTGCAGAAATTCAAGGTAAGACTGTGTACAATAGAAACTTAGCCCTTTTCCGGATCCCGTGCATAATAGGAGCTTAGTGCACCGGGCTGTCCATTTTCGACCCCACATATTAGATCCAACTCCCCCTGTTTGCCACATTACGGACAACATACAAAAATTTTTTAAGAAAGATCGGAGGTGATTTGAAACTATTTGGAGTCAAAAGTTGAACAAGTTTAAAATTTTATGTGCACACATGTATTTCACACATATGTATACATGAAAGTTACACAAATACCCAGAGGATACACATGGGATATATATGATACATGCAAGAGAAGCATGAAAGATACACCATTATACATGCATAAATTCCATCTTCTTCCTTCAAATTGTAATTCAAATCATATCAAATCGTTCTAAAATTGAGATTCAAACTACTTAAAATGTACCTATTCTATTCCAACAACATGCATCGAAAACAAAGTTCACATTTCGAAAACCAAAATTTCAAACTCAAGCTCAGGCGAGCTTCAACGGAGTTTTAGCTCATCTTCAGTTTTAGTTTTGGCATCCGTCGATGACAGAAGCGTATCTGG